CCAATATCAGCATCAAAATGTTTTATTAGTAATTAATGGTTTTTACTCTTCTAATGAAGCAACTTTTACACACCACAGACATATAATATGTCAAACCCTTCAGCTACTTCTCATCTGACTCAAAATCTTACAATCTGACATATCCGAGGTTTAGATTTTTTTATGTTTGTTGTTTTGTTAGCCCCAACCTAAACTGATGTATTTGTCATATTTCTCACACATAGTGTTCAAAGTTTATGTCTGACAAATGCCAGGAAAATAATACATTTATAGCTATAATATGTTAGAACGTTGCTGAGAGGCACGAAAAATTGTTTTTAGCTAATTTTCCTTTTTTATTTTATTCCTTTTTTCCAAACTTTTTAGCTAACTTTCCAAATTAGCCATTGCAGCTTGTAGAAGAATTTTGTTTATTTTTAAAAGTGAAATTCAGAATGTTAAAAATGTCAGTTTTTCTTGCTGGTCCTGCACAATCTTGTAAATCATGTACAACCTAACAAAATGTGTGTGTTTTTTTTTGTTTTGTTTTGTTGATCTGTTTTAAAAGCAGACAGGGCCATCAGATGGACTAAGTAAATCCAGCATGTGAAGGTATTTTTTCAGGAGTTAGACATCTTTAAATGCAGCTAACCGAATCGTAATAATGAGCCATGACAGTGAAGGTCTACCTTCATGATTCTATTTTCAACTACTCTCTAATGGGCTCTTACCGTTTGTAAAAAACAAAGCATTATGGTCGTCATTCAACAGATTTTTGCTTTTGAAAGAAATTAAAATGCTAGTTCAGCTTCTGTGAAGAAGCTCTAGTCCACAGACGATTTCTGCTCCCTGTTTCATGTCTAGCTGACCTTTAGAGCTCCGGCTTGTAACTTGAAGCTATGAATGGTGTTAATGAGCGCTTGGGGCCATGAGGAGTCAAATAAACAATGTCACTGTATAAACAGACTTCATATCCCCTGAAAGCACACACAGCCGGTATCAGATAACATAGGGATGACTGCGCACAATCACTCACGCAAATCGTGTCTTTAAACACTGCTTGGCGTCTTTTCATCACGCAAAACACATGTGTTTACAGCCGTTGCTCTTTGAGGACTAGTATCCAGAGTCTGCAAAAAAACTAGACCTTCTTTAAGTTAAGTATACATTCTGAGTTGATCTTGCTGACTTGACATGAAAAAGGGGGAAATTCATCAAAGACTAAGCAAGGCAAAAGGGAAAGCTCTTGATGGTAATCTGGGAGGGGATTCGCTCTAAAAGAGTGTAATCCCGGATGAGGAGTCTCTGCTCACAGAGTCATCATGTGTAATGTTTCCTTGCAAAGGCTTGGGAATCAGTCTGATTAGGCTTCAGGTGGTGGTCCTCGTCGGCAAGTCTAAATGTTACCCCTAGTGGGCGATATAGGGATAATGCAAAGTTTTGCTTTGACAAAAAAAATAAACGAATAAATAAAATGTCTGCTAAAGATCCGCCTGGACAGGAGGGAAACAAAAGTAAGAGGGGATTTTGAGAATGAGTTTTAAATATTAGGTAGCCCTGATGATGACATAAGAACTAAAAGCCAATAGAAAGCACATTTAGAAATGCATGTGGCAATTTTTGTCAAGAAGAAGAAGAAAATATCATTTCTATAGCGCCTCTCAAGATAAAAAATCACGAGGCGCTTCACAAAAACAAAAAATATAAAAATTGTAAAAATAGAAAAAAAACATTTTGAAAATGTTTAAAAAATATATTTAAAATGAGCAAGAATAAGCAACTGATAGAAGTGAACACTTTTTAATACTATGACCTTTTTTTCGTGAGTTATAAGTTTTATGGTCAATACAAAACATGTTCACGGAGTTCTTTGCTCTAAATCCCTTTCCAGCTGTTTTATTATATCTTCCAGAATCCGCTGTTTTAGGGCTCTGTCACTTTAAGAAAACAGACCACGCCCACCCATCCCCTGATAGGCTGCTATAAGCTAAGAAGCTCCAATGCTTGAGAGGGGCTCGGAGTAGAGCTTCTGTTCCTCCATCTGCAGCTCTCTCATGCACTTGGGAGGTGGTTAGGGTTATGACCCTACATGCCTACATTCTTCCTTTGTGACATCACAAACTGGAACATTTTCAAAAGACTTATTTTAGAAAAATAATTCTTAAAACCCAACAATGACAGAAATCTAATGGAGGTATTTTTTTATGTTTGGAGTGTTAAAAGAGGCAGAAGAGACCCACATGGCAGCAAAATAAGTTATGTGTGATATGTCCCCTTTAACCTAAAATCTTCTCACTTGTACTGTGATTTACTACTACAGAGTTGTTTCATTGATGTTCTGGTCGAACAGCATCAGAGAAATTCGGCTCTAGTGTAGTGAAAACATGCTTTGTGAGGACAGTGTGTGTAAACGGACTCAGATTACTCCTATGGACGTAAATAAGAAAGAAAAGAGCGATTGTGTTACTTGCTTGGCGAGAGGTCCAAATGACATATTTTTCAAACCAGGTAGAACTAAATCTAGGATTCAGTTCCAGCTGTCAATCCGTGAGCCCCTTGAGATGAAACTGTGTCTCAAGATGATTGAACAGCTTACTCTTGAGAAAACCAAGTTAAAAAATACCAAGTATGGTTATTGTCAGCTTCCAGAAGACTGTCTTCTGGAATCGACGTCCATTTTGCACTAATGCCCCTTATTAATGTGTTCCGCTGTTTATTCTCTGTATGAAAGAAACTGTTAGTGTGGTTTTTCTTCTCTCTGTTCATGATAACATTCAACAAATCAACAGTTGACCAACATTTAGGGCCTTCTCTAATTTCTCTGCATCGTGACGTTTTTAGTTGAGCGTTGTTTGCTGGATACCCACAGTCCGTCACGTTTTGAGGGTAAAAACCATTCCAACATTGGTGCAACCATGTCCTAGCGCTACGAACGACGGACTAGAGCTGCAGCAGACAGAGAAACCTATCCCTTCTTTTCTTCATTCAGTGAACTAAATAGTCATTTTATACATTCAACAGACTCCTCTGGGACATTGCTTGGTAAAGTATTTTTGCATCACATACGTGACTGCTGAAGGCTGACTGACCAGCTGCTGATGTTTAACAGATTCCCTGTTGGTTCTCCCGTGGGCTCTGAGAGGTTACAGCGGTGAGCACTGGCTGCCCATCCTGTCAATTTCTGCTGGTTCCTGTCCAAAGGAGCTAACAGCGTCACCCATCGTTAGCTGTCAAGTTCTCTGAGGTTTTGGCTTTGTCTCTTTTTATTAACGTCAGGCTGGCGTGATAAGAGTGAGTCTTTCACCACAACTGAATGCTGGGAAAGACTGATGTTTATCTCCAAACAGCCACTATTGAAAGTTCATAGAAATGTCAAAAAATGTCCTCCCAAATCAAGGACTATCTAAACCGATGGACTGCAAACCACGCAGCGGTTCCCAGCAGCTTGTTCTTTCAATAGTTTACCACCATTAAGAATTTTTTTTTACTGCAATTATTCAGAAGCTTTAGTCAGGAATAAAACGAGCTGCCTCGTACTATGAGAAATTCCCGCCTGCCTCCATAATTAACTGAAAAGAAAGCAAGTTTTTAAAATGGTCAGGGCGGTAACTGGCAAGTCCACAATCACAGCTCATGCTTTAAATTCTCCAGAGGTGTGATAATTTGCCAACCGCTCATCCCCAAAGCCAGCGACGTGACAACTCCGCCATAAATCTATTTGCAGCATTTTGGCACCAACGTTTTTCTTTAATGTGAGTTTCCAAGAATAAACTTTAAAAGCCCACTTTCTAAAACTTTACACGGTTCTTTAATCAGCAGCTATTACAAATAAAAGTGAAAATATACTAGATACGCGCTGTGGGACACTTTGGAACGAAACTGCATAAAAAAAGAGAAACAACTGAGATGCAGAACATCAGTGAAGTTTGTCAAGCCCTACTGAATCATGCCAGTTAGTCTACGACGCTGGAAAACTCTCAAAGAGCCAGAAAACACACACTTCTAATAAACCCATAAAATACACACCCCTATTCTGTCATAACAAAACTAATAAGCATTTTGATTTAGGGCAAACCAGACCAGAGTATTATGGTGGTCTCTGCACACGTTTCCCTTCGGTCCACTCTTACAAAGCACTCCACATTATTGCAAAGGCTATAAGTAGGCATTCAAATTGAGGTTTGGCAGGGTAGCTTGAGGTTGGATCTCCACACTCCACGGAGGAGAGAGTGTGGTTTTTCAGTAATTCTTCCCTCAGAGCCGGGTGCCTCTGCTCTCAACACCATGCACTTAACAGGGGGGATAAAGCAGTCTAGCAAGGATCTGTCAGGAAAACTGGATGAACAATGTGCAGAGAAGACCTGGGGACATAAGGAAGATGTGGCAGTGCCATCTGCTGCTGGGAAAGGTACTGAGAGGTGGGCTCAATGGAAAAATGAATAAATAAAATAGACATAAGCTATAAGGATCTTTTTTTTTTCCTTTTGCTGATAAATCTGGCTTAATGTCACATTTATTTATTTGTTTAAAAAACAAAATCTGTAAAGTAATTTACAGAAATATACTAAAAATAATTAATTTCACTTTTTTATTTGCTATCAGACTGTCATGGGCAGGGCGGGCGTTTTTTAAAACTCTCTGAGTTGGTACGCGTCCCTCAGAGGCCCCTCTATAATCCCAGCGAGCGTCTGGACCACTTTAATGACACTTTATGTCCCAGACAGAAAATTACCCGGAGTATTAAATGTTTCTCACATTTCTGCTGGCATCAATGATTTACTGTCCAAGCGCGCAGCGCCCCGGCAGTGGAGTCAGCTTTCAAAGGCAATTAAGGTTTACGAGGGTTCCAATCCTCACTATTTCCAAAAACAGCAGAAATAATGAGTTTCATTTACGGCGTTTATCTGTGCATTTAAAAAAAAGTCAATAAAATAAATCATGGTGCCACCTCTATTCCGTTTGTGCGTAAAATATCCAACCAGAGCGCACAATTTTCGGGTTTTGGTAATATTATTTATTACCTGTGGAATGACGCGGTGCTTCTTGATGGCAGGAGCGGAGCGGTTGGCAGCCGGTGCTGGCGTTTCTTCTAAGCCTGCAGGCTTGATGGAGTTCGCCTTTGGCCGCGCCTCTACCTGGGATGCCCCCGTCTTCACTGAGGCGATGAGGAACATCACAACGCAATATCTATTCCAAGTAGACACCAGCATCCTCAAAACAACACCGACTTTTAAAAAAAATGTTAAAATCGGTCTCTAATTTTTTCTGTAATTAACGTTACTTAATTAAAATCGTGCGCCCTGGCACAGTCCATGCGTCAAAGTCGCCAAACTTGCAACCCAGATGTTACAGAGGGAATTTTATGCCGTTAAAAAGGAGAAGCTCAAAGGAGCGAGTGCCATTGAGGTGTGTGAACGCCACAGAGATTCCCTGGTGTGTCAGAGACACAATAAATACGTGTATCAGTTAAAAACCGACGCGCTGAGAGGGAGAAAGGAACCAAGTCACCACCGAGTCTCTGTCAGGCTGGGAGTGAGCACTTTACGCTCCCAGCCGGCGGTTTTATGATCTCGGATCCTTTCTTTTTATAGGATTCTAATGAGTTTTCTTCCTCCGCCCCTATTCACCATCTGACAAAGACTGAAACTGATCTGTGTGCGGGACTGCTCCTGCTGCATTGTGGTCCCGACACCGACAGCAGGAGCCCCCATCGGGAGAAACCATAAAATCATACTCTGTGTGTTTTAACTGAGCACTTGACACTTTTTACTACTTGGCTGGTTGAAGAAAACGAGAAAGAAAATGCCAGAAATTAATCATTTGAAGAAAGTTTTGCAAGTTGAGATATTTAAGAACAAATATTTGTTTGTTTTGAGGATATTTGAGCAGAAAATATGACGTAAATAGCTTAAACTTATACAAAGGAAAGAAACAGACAACTTAAACTGAGAAGTCATTATTTAAAAGTAAAAATGATCTTTTATTTGCTCAAAAGGTTGTAGCACCTTACATTAGTGATTATTTACATTCTAATGTAAATTTCAAGCATTTTCAAAACCTTGCAAATTCTCCAAATTACCCGGTTTCTTTGATTCTGAGGCATTTATTTTTATCACGTTGCTCTGACTGCTAGATTTTTCCACATGTTTTCATGTGTTTATATTTTAGCTTTCTTCACATTGATTTTGATTGCTGCTATTTCAACTTCTCCTGCTTCATGTCATGAAATTCTCATGCTGAAAATCGACAAGGCAGATCACGAAAGTGGAAAAAGTGAAGCGCAAATAGGAACTTTAAGCTTCATGTAAATCAAGCCGGGGGGGGGGGGGGGGGGTCACCCTCGCAAAAAGAAGAAAAAAGAAGAAGAAAGAAACAAGCAGCCAGTCATCAAAACCATCTTTCCCACAATGGCTCAAAGACTCTCCTCCTAATAATGCTTTTAGTCTTCACACACAAGTCAGAAGCATCTATTCAACGCTGGAAGCTCGGCTGGACTGGGGTGAAACCAGTATACCGGTAAAGGCTTCTGACCTCAAAAGCGATCCATCACATCCGCCAATTCAAAGTGTCAAGTTCTTTTGTTGGAGACAATGGGTGACCAACTGAAATGGGGAGTGGGAGGAAGTATTGGACTTGTCGGATGTAACTGTAGACGCTTGGAGGTGATACTATTTTGGCCACTGTTGTCACCTGAGCACTCAACGATTTACCATGAAAGACTCCCACCAGACAGATGCTTTTCCTCCTCTTTTCTTCACAAGCACACACGTTCAGATCTGTTCTCAGAGTAAAGATGTAATTAGTTAGAAAACAGTCAGCAGCAATCGCTTTGATATCTTTGTTTTGAGCTTTTCTCCGCGTGATAAATGATAATACAGTTCAAATAACTAATGCAAAATGAAAGCAGCGGCTCAGAAGCAAAAGTTTTCATTCGTTCCATCAGCCCCAGCTGGGGTTCGTCTGCTTTCAGTAGAAAAATGAAACAGTTGAGGGGAAAAAAGTGCCTGGAGAGGAGAGTGAAAGTAATGGTTCGCAGTGAATAAGATCAGAGCAAAACGGGGGGAAAGGTTCGGAGGCTCTGTAGCATTTCAAACACATTCATCACTTTATTACAGGCAAGCACGAATGGGAAAGGCTCGAGAAATAAAAACATGCAGAGAATCCAGAGGGGAGGAAAACAAAATCTGAATGACACGTCTGACGGTAGCACAGCAGATGGGATATGACAGGTCAGAGTAACACACTTTAAAACGTTCTGCTACAAATGTTTAACACCGAGAGTGAGCTGCAGGAGAGAAGAGCTTACCAAGCCTGCACAGAGGCTGTCGTAAGCCTCGGTAAAGACAATATTTAACATGTAATCAACTTACATAACATTTGTCAGTTGGAAAGAGTTTCTAGTAAGATAATCTTTGCTGACAGGCTCACCTGAACCTCCTCAGTTATTCAGTCTTGATTGTGTCAAAGACTTGAAGCCGTCTGTAAAGTAATATCCCAGAACATATCGATATCCATTTACCTGACAGCGATTTTGCAACCTGGATTCTGAGGGAAGATTAAGGTCACGTCTTGGAATCAGACTCCCTTGACACCAAGCAGCTATGGCATCGGTTACAACTGGATTGGTAAAAACATCCTCTGTAGTGAAATTATACCCTGTTTATGCCGAGACGGAGAGCTGTGCTATGCAGGTGGTCTTTCTGTGAGGTGCCACATTAGATATTGTGGCTTCTAGACGATCGTATAGCTGAGGTCCTTTGAACACTTTCATGTAAATTTGTGATTGTTTTGTGTCACGAACAGAACTCAGAAGGACCCGTAATGACACCAAACACTGTAAAGGTTGGTTTATGCTTGACGCGTCCGCGAGGTCCGCACGGCTCCGCGCGGAAAAGTTGCATCATTTTGCGTCATTTTAACAACCACGCCCCTCCACCGCGCCTCCGCACGGCCCAAAATTTCCGCAACGCGCACCTCGGAAAATTTCTAACCACGCGGACGGACGGACGCGGAAAAACATGGCGGACTGGCAAGAACTAGTACGGCAGAGGTTCGTAAATACAGACATTTGTATGATTCAGCTCTCAGAGATCACCGTGATCAACATGTTGTTAATAATTCTTGGAGAGAAATAGCTCGCACTGTCGGAAAAGACGAGGACGCTGTTAAAAATGCCGAAATGCCATGTTGTAAACAGTAATTTCTACTTCTACTATGGTGTAGTGTTGGATGCATGCCGTAGAGCTCCATGCTGCCCCGTTCAGTTTGGGAGAATATTGGCTCACCGCAGAGACGAGCCGCACGAACCATAAACACTGCGAGTTGTGAAGCGCGTTCCATCCGCGAGCCGCATCACCGCGCGGAAAGTGAATGCGTCAAGCATAAACCAAGCTTAAAGCACCTTTAAAAGTCTTTATTTGATGTGGAGTTACCAGAGGTGGGCGAGGCTGAGGCAGGGTCAGGAGGAAGCATGGGTCAAAACCAGAGAGATCTGTGAATGCTACAAGGGGCAGGCAGGAGGCAGAATCCAGAGAATGGCCCGAAGGTCGAGAATGCAGGGGGTCAGTAGCAGAGAACAATCCAGGCAGGGAGCAGGCACGTGGGCAGGTAGAGAAACCGGAACAAGGTCAGGATCTATGATTCAGGCAGATGTAAGGAGTGCTGGAGAATTTGGTGGTGTGAGCTTTAATAATCTGGCACTGAATGACTGGATGGCTGGTTCTTTTGTAGCAGGGGAAACAGGTGTGAGTGATGAGCTGAGGAGTCAGAAGCAGGTGAAGTGGATGAAGCTGATTGTGGTAGTCAGGGAAACAGGGCTTGGCTGGGGCTTGATGATGAGACCAGGTGTGCTGCATGAAGGCATGAAGGGTGAAGGATTGGGAGTCATGACAGTTTTGTAGATTGAACAAAACCAACAGATTAGTGGATGGTGTTGTGTTTATGAAGTTCTATAGTAAAGGAGGCAAATGCTTACATGCTGTTCCTCTGTCAGACCAGGGGTGTCGCTAATGCGGCTGGTGAAGGGAGAAGGGAGGAGGAGAAGAAGATAGTGGGTTAACAAGATGGTGTACCGCTGTAAAGCTTAAAAATAAAGTATTGAACCGAGACGTCGCCTCCGCTGCCTGATTACAAACGCAACAAATTGGCGACGAGGATGAGCGCTTCAGTACCGTGCCCACCGCCCTTTTGCAACATGCAGGTGAGCCGCCGATACCGTTTACGACGTGGCACAAATTCTTTGACAGCTACATGCTAGTGATACATGCTACGGGAGAAGCGTGGCCGGAGGCGAGACGACGAGCCGTCTTATGACATTGCTTGGGACCAGAGGGACAACGACTGTTCTACACACTGCCGAATCAAGGCACCATGTTTGAAGACGCCATGACGGCGCTTGAAAACCTCTTTGTCCCTAAAGTGAATGTAGTGGCATGCAGGCACACATTCAGACAGCGAGTTCAGCGGGCTGATGAAACTGTGACCCAGTGTGTTGCCGCCCTCAGAGCGTTAAGCTTGGTTTATGCTTGACGCATTCACTTTCCGCGCGGTGATGCGGCTCGCGGCTGGAACGCACTTCACAACTCGCAGCGTTTATGGTTTGTGCGGCTCGTCTCTGCGGTGAGCCAATATTCTCCCAAACTGTAGGGGGCAGCATGGAGCTCTACGGCATGCATCCAACACTACACCATAGTAGAAGTAGAAATTACTGTTTACAACATGACATTTCAGCATTTTTAACAGCGTTCTCGTCTTTTCCGACAGTGCGAGCTATTTCTCTCCAAGAACTATTAACAACATGTTGATCACGGTGATCTCTGAGAGCTGAATCATACAAATGTCTGTATTTACGAACCTCTGCCGTACTAGTTCTTGCCAGTCCGCCATGTTTTTCCGCGTCCGTCCGTCCGCGTGGTTAGAAATTTTCCGAGGTGCGCGTTGCGGAAATCTTGGGCCGTGCGGAGACGCGGTGGAGGGGCGTGGTTGTTAAAATGACGCAAAATGACGCAACTTTTCCGCGCGGAACCGTGCGGACCTCGCGGACGCGTCAAGCATAAACCAACCTTTAGCTGTGCCATGCGAATTGGAATAATGGAAGGTGAGACGATTCGGGATCAACTTATTGTTGCTAATGCTACTCTCAGTGTTGTTAAAGATAAATTACTGCTGGAGGAGGACCTTACATTGGACAAGGCAGTTACTATTGCATGTCAGGTGGAGGCTGCGGTCAAGAATGCTACACTCCTCTCCGCTGCGCCCACGGCTCAGACTGCTGCAGTACAAGCTGTGGAGGTGAAGGACGCACGTCTTCGGGGTAAAAGGGGAGCGCGACCAGCTCAAGCTCGGGGACCTACATCTAAAGAATGGCACAAAAAGACAAGTGATAAAGTGCAACAGTGTCACTGTTTCAGATGTGGATCTGAGAAACACCTGGCTAATGATAAAAACTGTCCAGCAGCAAAAGTGAAATGTGATAAATGCAGCAAAAAAGGACACTTCGCCAGAGTTTGTAAATCAGCTGTAGCAGTGGTCAGGGAAGTAATCGTCCCTGAATTTACAGTTTTATGTGTGGATG